ATCTTGGAAGGGAAACGAGAGTGTGCTCTATGCCAACAGCTTTGTGCTCTCAGCCTGCCTGCCTGGCTGCAGTGTCAGGAATCAAAATGGGGATATAGAAATGCTTATATGCAAAGGATCCAATTCATTCAAACTTTAAAAAGAATCAGTTTAATAATTTCAGGTTGTGTACCTATTACACAACTTTCACTGTAAGTCTTCTGGTTTTTCATTTCAAGTAAATTTCTTTTCATTGTGTGAGGATTTCTTTGTAAAATAGGAAAACAAGATGATACAGAAATCTATAAAGTAAATACACAAGAAGATATTTTTCCCATTCTTTTCAATTTATAATAATCACTGAAGTGTAATTTTAGAAAAGAATGTAAAGACGTCCACTGATATATCTCCTTCAATTTATTACTCTACAAAAATAATTAAATTGTGATAAAGAAGCTTTAGTAGAAAACATATGTGGTAGTGAAACACACTCAAAGCATCCAGATGAACTGAAGTTATCTGACCAAAGGAAAATTCAATAGCATATTTTAAAATGCATCACTGGGAGCAGGTGCTTAACCTTTCAGGTCTTCTCTTGTAATGCTTGTACTCTGTGTGTACTTCATACTTTATCTGTAGGAAAAGAGGTAATAGAATAGTGCACACTTTTGGTTTATCACTTATTCTGTGTATATTTTATTAAATCAAAAGCCTTTTCTGGAGTTGCTATTCATCTCCTCCCAGCAATTTTGGCACAACCACATATTACACTCAATGATTCAAAGATAAATTCTTACTTTTTTATATGTTCCAACCACAAAAATAAGGTTAGCATTTTTCCCCAGCAAGTGCAAGTTGAGCTCTGCCTTTCTGTGGTCCTGATGGCCATGGCTGCCTTGGAGCACTTCCTTCTGCTCTTTTCTACTGGACCTGTACTCTTCACCTTCTTCACATCCTTCTTACGTAACACTTACTGGCTCGGAGTGATTTTGTTTTTCCTGTTAGTCAGTTAGTATGTGGGTTTTTTACTTTTTTTTTTTAACCTTCCCCCACCAAAACAAACCCCAAACCCTGGGTTTAATTTTGCTTCTTGCATTGCACAAGTGTTCTATGAAGTAGAAAAAGAAGATGGTAATTACAGAATAAGATTCGTCTTTCCTCTTGGTGTAAGACAGTTACATTCAGTGATATTCTGGCAGAATGTGTGAAATAGGAGTAGAATCTGGCTCTTATAAGGCTGGAAAATTTTATGACAGAAGCTGATTGTTCTTAGCTATATGTTGGAGATATTTTGTCTGAATAGTGGGTAACAGAAGGGTAATTTAGCATATTCTTATTTTTTTAAAACTGCATTGAAACTTCGCTGAAGAATGCTGTATTCTCTCCTTTCAAAAGAGTTTAATGACAATTGGCAACTAAAACCTTTTTCATAGGAAACAAACGTAAGTCTAGAATATTCACCTATCCAAGAGGTTTGATGATTAGCATATACATCAATTTAAAAGGAAATACTGTGTGTACTGCAATATAGTATATTTAATGGTTAACACAACATAAATTTTTTTCTTCTGTCTGGGTAAATTCTGTAGCCTTTTAAGGTATTATTTAATTTAAAATGAAAAAATCCAAAAAGAGTGGGGAAGATAGGATGTTTAAATTTATGTGTGGTGGGACATAGTGTCTGTCAGTCCAGTTCAGTGATACTCTTACCAAAACCTCTTTCATATAAATATAGAATAGATGCTGATGTTAAACCCAACTTTTTGTGTGTATGGATAAATAATAATTATGTATGACATACATGTGTGTATTTATGTAACAATGAATGAAGAGAGATAAATTGATCTGATGTGTATCCATTTTTAATCGAATATATTAAGAAAGTACAAAAGTTACTTCTATTCCACTGGCACTAATAAAGTAAACAGAACTTCCAATCATGTGTGGATTACATGCCTTGTAATCCATAAAAATTGTGGCATACTAGAAACTAGATATTTGTGATGTATTTGCATTTCTGTTTCATCACAGGTTTGTGATGTACTAACGTGTGAAGGTAGGCTTCCTAAATATTCTAATAGATACTGGCACTGCACTCTGCTTGTTTTGGTATTTTTAGTGTGGGATAACCTAATTTTACAGTATAAAATCGAATGGGAATGCATTTGCAGTTAAAAATCAACATAGTCAGATACTAGCTAATACTTTATAGACAGAGAACATGTGGAAATCTTCAGTGCTTGCTTGTATTTCTGAGATGTGTTTGCTGGAATTAATATTTTTAGAGTCCTGTACAATTCTGCTTGCCTTAGGCTGAGTGGTGTGAAATGTAATTGAACTAATGATTCACTGTGGTGAGATCATTTTTAAGAATGTAGTGGGCTTCTTATTGTACAATACTGTGGCATAAATTTGCCCTTTTTTCTTCAGCGGTGCTGCCTCTTTGCATTCTGTTTTATTCTATCTGTCAAGCACCCACACCTTCATATCACTCCTGAAATCCTCTTGTGTCTGTAGGATATATAGTGTGTCTGCACAATTTACTCTTTATTTTGTCTTGTGTTAAATCTGTCACGTGGTACAGATCATGTATGGTTCTGTTTTATGATGGCTTCTGGGTGTATGTAGGATGGCACATATTCTTACTTGTATTCCTTCCTGCTGTGCGCAGAATTTTCTTCTGCAGCCCTTGAAGTGTACTCCAACATAGTGTAAGTCCCCTTTTTAAAAATTTAATGAAGATGAAGAATAGTAAAAATGAGCCTGCTTATATTCGTAAAGGCAATCAATGACTGTGATCGACGTAGCCTTTAAAACTGGGCTTAATCTCTTTGGGTAATTCCTAGGCTGCTCTTTCTCTGCTCTGAAGTGCTCCTTCATTGCATCTGATTTTCTGATGAATGAGCTTTTAACACTAAATGTGTAATTCTTGAGGTTTTATTTAATTTTAAAAAGTAAGGTTATGTTGTCAAGAAACCTTTCAAGTCTGAAAGCTTTTCTAAATGCTTTTTTCAGATAAGGACATGATGCAGACTTATTAATCTGTTCATTATAATTTCTCCTTTCCTTCTTTTTAAATGAATGAGTAGTATCTTTCATTTAAGAATGCTTTGTTGGAAGATTAGTAATCACTGAAATCATGTTATGGTATTAACCCTACACATCCCGACTTTTCCTTTTGGTGTTCAAAATACAGAGGGTAACTTGAAAGTGAAACCAAGAAGGGGTTAACAAAAAAGAAAAAAAATAATAGTTTCTGCTTAAATATTTTGGGTGCATTTCATTTCAGAAATTATTCCCACAAGAATATTTTAAAGTGATAAATGTGGAGGATATGGGATTTAAAAAAAAAAAGCTTACTGCATTTGCTTCCTCTCTGCAACCTCTCAAATAAGATGTAGGATTTCGGTTCTTGTGGGAAATCAGAGATAACTTGGATAAGAAATGTGCCTTAAGTGGGTACAATTGAATGCAGATAATTTTGGGCTAATTTCCACAAAAAGCCAGTGAAAATATGAAAATATGTTTGAATATATATTACACAGTCGTTTCACATAATCAGTTATTATCAATCAGATAATAACATTTTAGGTAGAATTTGGATGATTTTAAGTGGCTATTCTTTGTAGAATATGGAGCTGTAGTTTTGTATTTTGGCTCTTCTGTTCTGGTAAGCTAAGGGATGAGCCCAAGTAAACTAAGGTACATTGCAAGTATTTTTTTTAAAAGCACAAAACCAGTTTTGGCAATACACATGATTGATAATTTAGCAATGCAGTAGAAAAGAGCTTAAAACTGCACTTTTTTTGTACACAACTTCAGAAAAGTGCTTTAGGAATCCTAGTATTTTATGTAATACTTTAGTCAAACTAGCTCTCATATTCAAGGGTATGATCTGCTTTTTAATATAAGATAATAGTTATTGAGAATTAGAATTTTAAATATACTGGTAGCTGGTGACACACCGATCAGTTTATGTAACAAGAGGAGTGAAATCATGCTCATTGATTTTACAGCTTCTTGTTTTGTTTCCCCCTCCCTGCCCCTGTTTCATTGAAATTAAGAAATTTTTAAGCATGTCATGGTGCAAACATCTTGACAAACTTATGTTCAGATTAATATCTTAACTCTTGCTTACAGTACTATGGATGATGATAACTTCATAAGGCTTCTTGATTTTTCTATGCATGTTTAAGATGGAATTGAAGCAGACAATGTAGAACAAAAGTGTGCCATGGCTGCCCAGGAAATGCAGGAATACAATAGCTAGCAGCATTGGTGATTGGTTTGTGACAAGGCAATTGCATGGCTAGTACTGAATGCACTGGAAAATAATAAAGTTATCTAGGGCAAGAAAAGTTATCTTCTACTTTAGCAGTGGCATTTAACAATCATATCTATGTAGATAGATGGTATGAATGAAGAATTTCTGTATGAAAGGTCCTTGTGTCACACTAGAGGTCAGTGTGAAAAATCAAAGCCTTTGCTCAGGACTGACTCTGTTGATTGGTTGTCTTCTACCATCAGCCAAATAATTTTCTCATCCATGCTTTTTTCCTCCATTTAGCCTTTTATGCCTACCCTGTCCTTTGCAATTATTCAAAGCTGTGTGTTTTCTATGTAGAAATTGTCGATCTGAGATTATATGTGCAAAACTTTTTACTTTTCTTAAGAGTACTGTCAATTTTTGGATCAGCATGAATTTTTTTTCCGGTATAAAAAGTTTCTGAACCACTCACTGAAGAGCATCATGTAAATGGCTTTTTTGTGCATGGTAGTTGCATGCTGGAGAAGATTGAAATAAGTGGGATATCTAAATATGAGGTCAAAACGTGTCCAGGTTGTAGCTGCATAATATTTAGAATACCTCTGATCAATACTGTTTATGAATTAAATTTAAAAACACCATGTCATACAAAATGGTGAATTTGTGCTACAGAAAAGTATTCCCAAGTGCAATTTTTGCTTAAAAATTCTTTATATTTACAGAGAAACTGAGCCATACAAATATTTTTTAAAAGTTTGCACTTCTTTAAGGCTATTTATTTTCTAAAAAAAGAGGACTTGAATATTTTTGACAAATATACACATGGTGTTACGCTAACAAACAGCCATGCAACATATATCTTACATAATGAAGAAATTGAATATACAAGACCTACTCTATTTAACATATATATTGAAAATATACAGTCTCGCCAATAGTTAAAAAAGTTTTTCTTATTTGGCAGTATTTTTTTACAATTTGTTCAAATATTCCGTTTGATGTGTTTTGGTGAATACTGAAATCTAATCAGTGACAACCTGAGGTACTAAACATTTCTGCCTTACTTCGCTGTCTTCAAAGGTAATCTTTTTGTTCCTTTTAGGCTCTATCCATGAGTTGTGTATTACAGCGTTATTTGGCATGGGATCTGCTTCCACTATTGAAACAACTCGCTTTTTCATCTTACTTTTCAGAACTTTCTGAAACTTTTGCCTCGTGAATGCGTAAAGTAGAGGGTGAAATATAGTTGTTCCATATGCCATTACTAGAAAACATAATCTCAACTTTACCAAAAGGTCACTTGGGCCCAAACATAGGATAGTGGTGTTTAAAACGGAGATGGGTGTCCAGCAGAGAAGGAATGTTGAGATAATCAGAAGGGACATTCTGAAAACTCTCTTTTGCCGTTCCCGGCGCTCCCGGTGCCGTTTTACAGCTCGGCGTAGAGCAATTATCACAGACACGGAAGTCCTTACACCAAAGACGACGTTTTTTCCTCCACTGCTGTGGGACACATCCGTAGTCTCATGCTGAGTTGTCAAAGAAATAGTTTTTTTCTTTCTGTTTTTCTTTTTTTGTCCTGTTGTAAATCTTGTACCAATCCGAATATTTAGGGCCTGGAGAATTTTGGTGTATGTAATTAGCATTACTATAACAGTGAAGAAAAATATTGGAATCTGAACAAGAATGTGGTAGTACATTCCTAGTTCAGTGTGGTACTCGTTTGTACTCACACAGAGAAGTGTCTTATTTTCCCAAGTACTTGCACTTTGAAGACTGAAAAAGTTGACTTCAATGAAAGGAATCAGGAAGGAAAAAAGTGAAATGATCCATATTGATGTCATTAATATCACAGCCCTTCCCATGGTCAGGATTCGATTAGCAGGTTTTACAGAGATGTCGTATCGGTCCAGGGTGATGGCGAAGACGTTGATTGCAGTTGAAACACTTGCAAAAGAGACACAAGCCTCATGGAAGCAGCAGATGAGAGCAGTGTTACTCTCCAGTGAAAGCAGAAGGATAACTATAGTTAGAGGAATACATCCCACACAAATTATTACATCAAGTACATGAAGGTTCATTGTAATTATGTTACTGACAGAATTGATTAAGTTGGATTTCATACAGTAAAGTACCAGCACGGTGAGGTTGCTGCCAAGTCCCAAAACAATTTCTAACATCAAAAATCCAGTGAGAGAAACTTGAAAGCTTAATGGATATGACAGTGGTTGGTACATGTTGGTATCGATGTCATCAATGGCATCTCGAACTGTAATGTTAGATTCGGACTGCATGTTGACTTCCAGAATGGGGGACAAGCACATTCTTTTGTTGCAGGTGGTTTTTCTCCTGAAAGGTGAAATAAAATACGGAACTATTTGATTTCTTTGTTTAACACTTACTGTAGATAAATTCTGGGGAAGGAGGAGGGAGGAAAAGCAATATTCTTACCAAACTCTTCATTTACAGTATGTTTAGAGCTTTAATTGGCATGGACTCAAGTGCCTGAAGATCTGGAATAAGGTCTTTGCTTTTTAAAAGTAAGCAGGATTTGTTTGAAAAGAGAAAAAATAGTGAAAAGCTTCCACTTAGGGAGGCAAGCCTTTGTTTATAGTGATGTGGTTTTTCACAAAGGGCTCATTTGTTGAATAAACCATACTTTGTGCATGGCCTTTGTATTGCTTTGAGGGTCATTTTAGAAGAATGTTGTTAAGTATTAACAAATTAGTGAATCAAGATCATTTTAAAAAGCTCTTGTGGAAAAAGAGATGATAGGAACATGGGGCACTGTTGCTTATGTATCATAAAAAGGATGTTTAAATTATTTATGCCAATTTATCCACCTCTTTCTTATGAGGTTTACTGTAGTGTTGTGGGCTGAAATGTGACGTTCTGTAATTCACCAGATTTTTACAGAGTTTAAACCTTCTGTTTATTTTAATTTTCTGTGCATCTATGTGCATGATGCTTGCCACTACAACAACTTTATATAAGTACATATAATTTCAAATGCACAACTGATGTGGGTTTGGGAAATTAAGTTTGTTATAAAATACTATATTTTCTTTTTCTGATTTGAATATTCAGTTTCTCAAGAAATCTGTGCCTACATGGAATGAAAAAGTATTTAATTTTATTCCAGAGTATATGTAAGGGAATAATTCTAGTAAATAATACATAACCTGAAAGAGACAATTTTCTTTATTTCTTTTTGGTTGGTTTGTTTGGTTTTTGTACAAACTGCAATTAAATCCAACAGATATCCATACCTAGCATGTTTTTCTTAGGAATAAGTAAGGATCAAAAAAGTATTTATTTTATCTAGCTGATTTTTTGTTTTGTGTCTCATCTGCTTAGTTTTACACATATGGGCAAGTTTTAAATATAGCATCAGCATGTAATACTTGATGTTTGTATTATTTATACTGTCAGCCAGCTCTTCAGTTGTAATTGATTAAATAAATAAAAGAGGTTATTCAATTTCTTGTTATGATACTGGAGGGGTTTTTTTCTAGGTAGCTTTAAATTTAAGAGGGGACATATTTGGCATGAAAATAAATTTAAATGTCAAGCTTTGTTCTATTCTGAATACATTAAAAACGATAGCAGTAAGGTGAACAAAATTGAGCTCTTTTAAAATGAAAGTATGAATTAAGCACACTTGGGATACGGTATGCAAATGGATTTCATCTGCAGTTCTGAAAAGCCTCAATTGAACAATACTATTAATTGCAAATTGTATGATGAAAATTCTTGGTATTCTTCAACAGTTATTTCACATGTGCTTCTTAAATAAAAAAGATGTAAATTAGAACATATTATTCTCAGGTGTGAAATGAAACAAGAAATATTTCAAAAGCTTTGTTTCATTTCTAATTTAGGCAACCTCTATCTGTCCTACATTAACCCTCAGGAGTATGGTATCCTTTTGCGTGCTGTCCTGGCTGTGAATGGATTTCAAGAAACCATTCCAAATGCATTGCTGGATAAATGAAGTTCTTTTGTATTAGCAAAAGCCAGGAAGAAATCAAAAGCAGATCTGCTAAAACAAATGACACTCTCACCCTAATATTATAGCAACGGAGATTTTGTGAAAACAGAAAATCTCAGATGTGTTAGGTCGTCACGAATAGCTTAAACATCACCTCCTTGGAGCAGTGCCTCCGTTTCGGGCGCAGGGAAGCGGAGCCGTGGGGAACAGGAGCTCGTTCCCCCCGCGCTGCTCGGGCACAGCCGGGCACAGCCGGGCACCACCAGGGCACTGCCGGGCACAGCCGGGCACTGCCAGGGCACTGCCAGGGCACAGCCAGGGCAGAGCCGGGCACCGTCGGGCACTACCAGGGCACTGCCAGGGCACAGCCAGGGCACAGCCAGGGCAGAGCCGGGCACCGTCGGGCACTACCAGGGCACAGCCAGGGCACTGCCGGGGCACCTACCTGTTCTCTGTGCCTCAGGGGCCTGGCACAGCGCGGCAGCCGCTCGGCACAGGCTCACACGTGCTGTCACTGAGAGATTTTTGACATGCACTGTAACCTGGAAATCGAGTGGTAGCTGAGCTCTTATTTCATTTCTTGCAGGTTTTTTGGTTTTTTTTTTTTTTTTTTATTCCTGCAGGTCAGCAGCAAAAAGTTCTGATTAAACATGGGGACTTCTTAATTGCCTCAGATACTTCTACAGACCAGGGCATATTCTGTGTGTCTGTTCTGAGTTTCAAGCCAGCAATAACAAATAAACCTTCTTTTAAGTGATGTTAAATTCCTTCCCCTGTTGCATTTTGTAGAAGCCTGTTTTTATTTTCCAGGTTTAAAGAAAAATAATTTCTGATCTCTATTTTCAGAGTGCGTGTAGACATCCTTAGTTTATGGTTGCGTATTTCTTTCTGTAATATTCCTGCTCATTACTTTTGAGTGATGGCTTAGTGAAAGAAGTTGCTATGCATCATAAAATCCAGTTCATGTGCTTTGAGAGTAACCATGGGTTACCTAATTTGGTTTATTTTGATTTAAGGAGAATACATAACATCATAAAATTGAGAGAAAAATATCCATTAGTCATTATGACAAGTAAGTTATTTAATGAGTAGTATAGAAAAAGCTTGGTTAAACCTTTATTCAGCTTGCTGTTGAAGTATGCATATTCTCCTTTTGGGATTTCATGTTTCATTGTCTCTTCATGCATCAGTAGTTTCCACAATTCTGGTTTTAAATTATAAATCCCTCTTTAAGAAATGCTCACCATTTTAAGAATCAATCATTGCACTCTTCTTTTAATGAAAATCTGAGCAGATGTGTTAGTCTTCCATGTATATTGCTGAAGTGTCATGCACGTAAATGGTAATGCAAGTGTGTTCCATGTTTTGTTTTTAATTCCTTTATGTCTTAAGAATACATTTTAGGGATGCATCCTGCTGCTCGTAGGTCATACAGCTACAAAGATACCCGGTCAACTGCATTCTTCATATTGTCAGTTGTAAAACTGAATTAGTTGCTGCATGCCCTTGTGAAGGGGAGGAAAAAAAAGGTTAAAAGTAGGGCTTATGATTTCAAAAATAAAGTAATGCAAGAATGTATTTTCTAATATCACTTACTTCATGAATAATGGGTCTCTAAAATTGGACCTTATAGATTACATAGAAAATCAGTTAGCCTGCTATCTATTTGCCAGTAACATCATATTCTTCTGTCAGCTTACATGAATTTAGTTTTTTTTGGACAAGTTTCCTGTTCTCCAGATAGTGCAGATTACAAAAATCCTGGCTAGAAGCAATAACTGTTGGATGCAGCGTGTCTGTGATTAAAGCTAGAAAATGTAGTTTTATAGCTCTGGTGAGCAGGTACTTTATACATGCAACTCTCTTGTCTTTTAATGAGAAACTGAACAGAGTTAATGAGCCTTTTAGAAAATACACTTTTGTTTAATTTGCATACTGTTACACTTTCCTATCTTGAAATAAATGTTTCAAAAATCCATGCTTTCAATAAATGGCTTGAATGTACAGGATAACGAAAGAAGTAAGTTTTTTAAAAAACAACAAAAAGGGGGGATTTCCTGAGCAATCAGAGATTTGTCATATTAGCCAACCTTCATAAAGCAATAAGTATACACTAATTACAGACTATCTGATCCCTGAAAGAGTAACTGAATAAATCTGAAACATATTTAACTGCCAATATTTGGAAATACTGCTGAGGGAGGAAAAGCATATTCCCAGTTGCTTTATGTGGTTGTTTTCTCAATACTGTATGAGCTTAAACTGTACTGTCTGCATGTTGTAGAAACAAAACAGGTTCTTAATATTCTATCAGACTTTCATACAGAACAACATTTTTCTATCATTATATTTTTAATGGAGAAGGGGAAATAGCATTTCAATATTTCCTGGACTTAAGTATAACGATATATTACTACTTAATATAAGCTGAATCTGATCTCTTGCCTTTTTTTCTCCAATTTTTAATTTGGTTTAGTGTTGCTTATTCTGCATATCATAATAAGGAACAGGTCTTACCTCCACTAAAGATTTGGTAAATTCTCGATGCAGGTGAAGCAGTTCCAGGTTGGAGGGATTCATTTTGTTCACTTGTTAGCAGAGTAGAAGGGAAAGAGGGTAATAAGCGTATCTTCAAAAAATGACCTTAATGAAAATTTGTGCCTGTACTGTGCCATTGTTTCAGCATACTGCTAATGTATACAATTGCTTTAGTTCTGGTTTACAGGCTGCTGCAGTCTCCCACTCTTCCTACGGTAGAATCAATAAGCATCTGAAAATACATAATGAAAGTAATTTAACATACTGAAGGCTTCTTGTCTCCAGAGACACCACTGAGATTCACGCTTTCTAAAAAAGAAGAGCCGTGCTTCTGAGAGGAAGGCTTGCGATGGGCAGCTTGTGCAGAATGACAGCCTACCTTGTCGCTTCTCCTCACTGCAGAGAGATGCAGTGCATTCACTAATTTTGATTGGTCAGTGATGTTGGGCTTAAATTGTGCTTCATATATGGGATTGATGCCCTCCCTCCCCCCAATTTATATAAGGATTCTTTTATAAAAGGACTAAATTTACAAATGATTTATGAATTCTGGAATATATTAAGGGTATGCCTGTTTTATTTTTACCTTTTCACTCTTTACTTTGTGTACACTGGAAACCACATGGCACTGGGAAAAAAAGGGATTAAAGGGTTATTACTTTAAAAGCTTCCAACAATCTATATTTGAATCTGCCTACTCTCCATTTTTGAGCCTTTTAGATGTTTGAGTTTTTTGTTTGATTTTTTGTTTGTTTGTTTTGGTTGGTTGATTTTTCTTGTCTTAAGAATATTCTGAAATAATACTGTCTCTTTAAGCCATACTGAATTTCAGTGTACATGTTTACATGCATGTGGTCATCTAGGTTTTTTTTAGCAATAAGTTATATTCAGGACGACTTGGTACCCACATGTATATTAGGAAAATTTTTGCTAGGATGCACCAAAATTATTCAGACTGATAATCATTCAGACATGATAATTCAATTGATTCATGATCAGAAAAAGATGATTTTTAGGATTGATCACTATGTACAATGTATGTATAGTGTGGAAGTTATTAATTTTGTTGAAATGTAAACTTCTAAAAAAACGTGTATGTTCCATATGAATTTTGCTAGAGACTTGACAGGTTTTTGTGAGCATGTCTTTCTTGCATGATGTTCTTGACCTTCACTTTGCAAGGGATATCTTTGTTTTCACTTTTTGTTTTGTAACTTATTTCTGAATCTGTTCTGTCAGTATAAGCAATGCTCACAACCGCATAATGAACAGTGTACCTGTTTTAATTAGTACTGGTG